ATTTAGGCTGAGGAAAAAAACCAGTATTATTGAACATATTTCGTTTGGCGCTCACAAAACTTAACAATGGCTTCAATTATAATAAATTTGTATGACGCAATAGCCGCCATGAAATTGGATTGCCATGGATTAAAAAAAAGCACAGATTTACATAAGATAATTGTGGATGATAACAGAATGAGTCATGCGCCTGATTCGTTGAATTTCGAACGCGGATGTTGAAATATACCGGGAAATTGTTTCGAATTCGATCGCCGCCATATTGTTGTATATCTATTGTAGAACTCCACTTCCAACAGTCAGGAAATAATACACAGATTGCAGTAGTTTATTTAATTCTTTATTTGTAACTCCACTTTTACAATCTTTAGACATCTGCTCACTACCGAATACACTGATTTCTGTCCCGTTTTTTCAGACTACCACCTTTTTTATTATGTCACATCCCCACTACTGCCATTGCTCCCACCAACAGTGTTGCTGTTTGGCAATCCGATAATTGCCTTAACTATAACATGATACATTTTATTATTATTTTTTTAATTATTTTACAATAAACCTTACACTATTGTAATTTTAAAAGACCTTTTTGAACCAGAATTCAATATTGAAAGGCTTATGCATAAAACTCAAACATCTGTAAGGATCAAAACAAATCAATAAATAAAAGGTTTTTCTCGAGTGGCGGTTTTAATTTAACAGTTGTACATAGGCTAGGAATGACAATTTCTTGACTAATACCTATACTAAAAGCAATAACGTAATACATATGTATCTACATGATTTATGACCACTTTTAAGTTTATAAGACTAGGATAGTCTTAATAAACTACAATTGGGTATAAACTGATGATAATGATTTCTAAGCCAATAAAATATTTGGTCAGTATTTGAAATTTTTATAATTTGCGAAAAAGAAGACACAGGTCCACATCAAGCCCTTAGGTAATCTTTCCTTTATCACTTTCCTCAGCTTGTTTTCCTTTGCTTCTTCATTCCGCACTCTGAGATGGCTAACTACACGACTCCTCTTCACTCTCACGTTACTGGTGGTAGGACCTCTTGGGAGTCCGCACGGGTAGGTACCATCACCCCGCCTATTTCTGCCGTGAAGCAGTAATGCGTTTCGGTTCGAAGGGTGGGGTAGCCGTTGTAACTATACAGAGACCTTAGAACTTATATCTCGAGGTGGGTGGCGCATCTACGTTGTAGATGTCTATGGGCTCCAGTAACCACTTAACACCAGGTGGGCTGTGAGCTCGTCCATACATGTAAGCAATAAAAAAAAAAACTCGCCCAAGCGTTCGATCCCCCGGTCAGAGCCCGGGCGTGGGAAAGGGGTTATCGCGGTCAACACTGCAACCAGACGCGTGGCTCACCCCAGCCAACGCAACCTTTGAGTGCCATACTACAACCTCATCGATGACATTCCGCCCGCATATAAAATCAGTCCGTGACCGTGCCGCGTTTATTCTCGGTAGACTCTACCCCATGATCTGTAAGCGGAGTAAAATGTCCCTTCGGAACAAGGTGACACTTTACAAAACTTGCATAAGGCCCGTCATGACTTACGCGAGTGTGGTGTTTGCTCACGCGGCCCGCACACACATAGACACCCTTCAATCTCTACAATCCCGCTTTTGCAGGTTAGCCGTCGGAGCTCNTGAAGGGCCAACAGTTTCTGCTTACGTTTGGGATTTCTTTGAATTCGCGCCTTCACAGCTTTTATCACTGCTGGAGTCCTAACAGACCGAGGGCGACCACTTCTTGACCTGTCATCTACACTAGAGTCTTCATTGTATCGTTTGATGGTACGATAAACGAATCTTTTGGTTATATTCAAATTTTTCAGTATGTTAAAAATTTGAATTGTCGCGTAACCGCAGCGATGCAACGCAATAACTGCAACACGGTCTTCTTTAAGCGTCCACTCCATATTTAAAAATGCCATATTTAAAAGAATTCGAATTCAATAAACTTTTTTGTGGCCAGCATTCTATAAGAAAAGTTTTTACTGTGCGACGATACTTATGACCTGACTAGTTATATACCAGTATACATAATACATACTAATATGCTTACACACACATAATAAATCAACAGTATGCAAATGATAAATGATAATGATGTAACAAAGAGCACTAAGTAGTGAAATGGTTCAATCCTTTTTTTAGGTAGGAAGGATTACTGGTGGCCCGAAGGCCTTTCCCAATTTCACCAGGAGAGGTGTGCGAACAAATGCTCAGCCAGGAGAGTAGTCCAATCATTTCCTTAAAGAACACCTCAGTATGATTGCGACCGAGCAAGCTATAAGGTTTATTTGCTTAGCTTAAGCGTGAATCATATTCAGCGTTAGTACTCGTAGACGTCTTTGCGACGTTAACAGTTACTTTCACTCTTTCGTTTGACATTTAAATCTTTTTGATGTAAGCGTTTGTCAATCAATCAATTTAGGCAATAAATAAATGATAAAGATTAAATGGCTATAAAATTTAATTAATGCAGTAAAATGATAAATATCGGACAGTCACTACAATAAAAAATGATTAGGTAAACTGCCTTTTACGTACAAATTAGTATAGGTAGGGTATAGGAGATCTCATAGGGTATAGGAGATCTCAGTCGATCTGTGTGCTTAGTGTGAGTTTTTTAACGTTCTCGATAGCGTAAAAGTTATCTGAAATTTGTATGGAGCTGGACAGTGTCTCTAGCGGCAAACATAGGCAAACGTTCCAATTCCATACAAATTTGACTTAACTTTTACGTTATCGAGAACGTTAAAAAACTCGCACTAGGCACACTGATAGTTGCGAGGTAGAGTAAGCAATTTTAGTTCTGCAAAGAGTATTGAGTCGCAGTGTTGATCAGATCATCGATTTAATTCATTACTTCATTTTCATCCAAATCTTATTCAGCTATTTCAGAGCATTTATTTCGAAATCAATGATAAGCACTTTTAATGTAGTTTGTATATAGTTTATTTATTACAAGAAGAACCAACAGCCAACTCAACATAATATAATATAATAATATAACAAATAGTAGAAACAAAAAGTTAATGAAGTTACGTAGTTAAAGCTTTATTTATGGCCTAATATTTATTATATTTTATTATGTGTTTTTTATTTGATGTGTGATTTATTTTCTCGTTTTTTATTGTCAATATATTATTTTCGATACTATATCGTCTTACGTGGTCGCGGACGAACCAAAATACTCATTATTTTGTATCAAAACATATTTGGTTGCTTAAGGAGTCCATACTAGTTTTATACACGTGTTTATTTCCCTTTTTCCACCGGGATACAGAAATGTATTCTAAAATAAAATCATTTTTTTTTCACACTGTCGCGCTGCCTCTCTTTAGGTATTCGGGGTTTATGCACTCGCGTATTGTAAGCAGGCGAGCAGCGATCTCGTCTGGCGCTATGCTGCCATGACTTACCTTTGTCAAGTTTGACTCTAAATTGCATAGTACAAGTCAAGCGTGGGGCTAGTCCGATATTCCTTTCCTAAATCTGGCGCTGATAACAACTCCTATTTTTTATTCTCTAGCTAATCGTTGTTATCGTGCTAGCTTTATTCTCTAGCTAATCGTAGTCTGAGGGGCTATTCCAGCTACTAACAGACTGGTAGGGAGAGAGTTTGCTGACACTGCCGAATATACTCCTATACTAGATACACACTCTTTTTTTACCTACCTGTGCTGATAGCCTTGAGAGGCTATTTCAGCTTCGCCCTAACGTGTAGGTGAGCTCACGGGGCTCGAACCGGAGTATTGCTAACACTGGTCCTAGCAAGAGCAGTGCTTCGCAGAATGTACGACCGGATCAGAAACGTGGCCCACTAAAAAGAGCAAGAAACTCAGTGGGCTGTGTCTATGGGTTGATTCGCTCGTCGAGCCCTTCGTCGCAAGCGACGGGTTCGACGAGGACGGTGACCAGTGCTTGTGGTACCTAAAAGCATTGTTATTGGATCGGGACAATCCGTAATTACGTGTTTTGGGCGACGTCAACTATTTACCATTCGGTCTACAGGATCGGGTATGTAATTCCCAGCAGCCACGACAAGCGGGTTCTCATGTCGTGCCGCCTTCTCAAAGTGGCGTAATGATGCGGACTGTAGATACTTACTAACTGAGTCTAGCTCCAGGTCATCATGAAGGCACTCTTTTGAATATTGCTTATACGTAACTTTTCTGTTTTCGCGTGTGCAAGTTGTTGTTGGTCCGTTGATTATGTTAAAACGTGGAGTTATGAGTCATGTATCAATCTGTCAGCGTGAAGTAAGTATTTTTTGTTATTACTAAAAGTAGCACCTTCAGAATCACTTGACTGGGAACAGCACACGTCGGCCATAGACATTGACAATATCTGGATAACAACCATCCACCGCAATCCGTCAAACGTTGATGCCTAGTATTAAAACTTCTCTAAGATTCGGTTAGTAGAGCGTCTCGTTACAGCAGCAGAACTTCATAAAAATAACATCAATAAGGCCTTGATGGCCCACTGAGTTTCTCGCCGGATCTTCTCAGTGGGTCGCGTTTCCGAGCCGGTGGTAGATTCTGCGAAGCACTGCTCTTGCTAGGGTCAGTGTTAGCGTCTCTCCGGTTTGAGCCCCGTGAGCTCACCTACTGGTTAAGGTTACGCTGAAATAGCCTCTCAAGGCTATCAGTTTAGCAAGCAAAAAAATAGGCCTTGAAAATCCAGTATTTTATAGCAAAGTTTTAACACAGCCTATCATTTTTTAATATCGCGTCGTAAAACCATCAAAATTCTCGGAACCGTCCTTTACTTGGCGCTCTGCTGCGTCGTAGAAAAAAAGGCATACTTTGCAGAAACCATAACTAATAACAGTTACCGCGCGAAGGTAGTCTATGGGAATAGTAAAGCTTCGAACAATAGCAAAACTACCTGTGTCTGAGTCAACTCCACACGCTCGAATGACCAATTGTTGAATAAAAGCCTGGCTGCTCATTCGTTCGCGTCACCTGAGCGCGCGCGCACGTCTCAAAATACGTTTAAAACCAATTCAACATCAATAAATCGCAAAACGATTAGTGGATTGTAATATTTGTAATAAAAGTTCATTAAAAACGATTATTTTTGTGTGTGTGTGAGTGTCTGTGTGTTGCGTTTGTGCGAGTGTAAAATGGTGCGCACGTTGAAAGTGGTCGGGTGTTTCAGAATGCCCAAACGTGCCAAAGTTGAACCGGCTCCAAGCGGCGAAGGAATATTCACTATTGATATGTCATCAACGAGCACTTTGGATGTAGCCGTGAGTTCTTAAATCGTATAAAACTCGAATCGATCAGGCTGTTTTTGCGAAACGTTTTTAAGTAGGGTGACCATGCTGTGGTGTGTTAATTTCGAATGTAAACAAACGTTGAATGTACACATGCAAAAGTAGTCAGGGCATTGGTTTACATTTCTTTGTCAAGGTCATGGTCGAAAAGATTACCTATCAACTTCAAACCAGCTTAGTTCTTTGATCATAATATGTAGAATTATGTCATTAACGCAAATTATCATGTAAACTGGAATAGTAGAGCTAAGGGAGATGATGAATAAATATATTTAATTCACCCAATAATATTACAGGTATACCTATGATCTTAATCGCAGCAATGGATTGGTTTTGACCTTTATAATGTAGATGTCTATATAGCAATACCTATCTCATTTGAGGTCGTCTGCAAGGCTGTCATCACGGAATAGATAAATTCTATTCCGTGGCTGTCATAAACTAGTGGTATAAACAAAAATTGCAATAAGAATTATTGTAGTTTGATTGCAAATACCTTTAAGGCATTCCAAAATATAAACAAAACATTTAGTTGTTATAAAATTTCAAACGGAGAAACAAATTAATAAAAAATGATATCTCAAATGTGAGCAATACTTAAAATTCCCACGGGATTTCCTGTTAATAAAACTAAGTAAGCCAATTGACGCTGACACATATATTTTAAAAGTGTCCAAACTAAGAATAAACAGAAAATCCAAGTTTCCTTAAGTGTGGGTATTAAAAATCATTTACGATTGTTAGACGATGACCAGAAGTGTAGAAATGTTTGTCTCAAATATATTATACTATTTGATTCAATTATATTAAAATCGGGCCATGGGCCGAACCTTCTACGAGTTCCCCACGCCTAGGGGGCGTTCGGGGTATGTGGGACTGGTCCGCGACTGCGAAACCCCGGGCCCAAGGATGTTTTCAGGACCTCCGAACGGAGCCTCCGAGGCGAGTCGATGGTTCTTAAACATCAGCCGTCTCAGTACGGCAGACCGTCGGGCCGCCCAGACGGTGCCGTTGGTATCCCGGAATACCCCGCTCGACCAGAACTAGCCTATCGGATCAGAACGCGATACACCGCCAACTGGTTGCTCTTCTTTATGTTGAAGATATTATTCCTTGGCAGCGCGCCGCGCGGCCTCGACCCCCTCAGATCGGGTAGCACGGGTCTTTGCAAGTCTTTTTTAGCAAAAGCCTTTTTTTTAATTAAGGATTACTGGTGACCCGGAGTCCTTTCCAGTTTCACCAGGACAGGTGGGCGAACGAAGGCTAGCCAGAAGGGATGGAATTTGCTAAAAGCTGCATATAAAAACCTTGTGCTTAGTGGTGGTAGGGCGTATTGTACGATCGCTCAGGTAAATACCACCTCCTATCTATTTCCAACGCAATGCAATAAATACGTTCGAGACTTCTTCTCGATCGCGTAAAATTTAACTCAAATTTGTATGGAGTTGGAACAGCGTCCCTCCTACGTTCAAATGTAGGTTTGAGTTAATTTCACGTGATCGAGAAGTTAAAAAACTTGCACTAAGCACACTGAAGTCTCAATGCGGGTGGCGGAATCCACTTGTGTTACCACTCAAAGCCAGATGGGCCTCAAATACGATCCCTCATCTACATTATAAAAAATACAAAACTCACTCAATGTCGGAAAAAACGAATTTGATTCCCACGTGCATTTTAAAACAAATCCTAACGATTGATATTCTAAGTGCTATGAGCATATTTTAATATGAATTATAAGTGACTTGAAGTAGATTTACAAAGATACAGCAAATGTTTATACCGTATGATTCAATGTATGATTATACTGTTGACTCCATTCGATTAATTATAGGTAGGTGATACCGATCATAATAATGTATCATCATCGTATTGCAGAATTGCACGCATTTCTGATTAGCTGTATGCTCGATTTTTTTTCCCTACCTATTCTAGTAACCTCGTGGGGTTATTCTAGATTCACCGAGCTAGAAGGTGACCTCACGGGGCTCAAACAGGTAGTGTTGCTAACATTGGCCCTAGCAAGAGCAGTGCTTTGCAGAGTCTACCACCGGATCGGAAACGCGACCCACTGAGATCCGGCGAGAAACTCAGTGGGCTGTGCCTATAGGTTAATTTACTTGACGAGTCCTTCGTCGCAAGCGACGGGTTCGGCAAGGACGGCGACCGGGCTTGTTCGAAGCTTCGCTAGCGTGGACTATATTTATTATTATCAAATATAGCCTACATTTGTTCCCATGCTTCAAATAACCTTCTGAGTTCCGTAAAAATCTGTTCAATGTTTTGGAAGTGAAAACGTAGCAAATTGACACATTGGCTTTCATATCAATAAGATTATTTGTTATGCAACTTTGTTATGTAACTAAATATGCAACAGTAGAGAATAAATAAAATAAATATTTAAAAGACGATTATATTAACACCCGCGTTCAATGAATTGTTACAGAAAACGGGTAACCAAACAGACAAAAAACATCGCTGTTTTATGGTCCATTATTGATCTTTAGTGACCTCCAGTCTACTTATTTTACTCTTAACTACTTCTTCTATCTATAGACTCTTCGGATTCTACAGTTTTATTTTATGTATCGTTTAGAAAACACTACATTAATATTCGTTTCTTTTATTCAACTAAAAGTATGTAAAACTTTAGGTCATTTTGAATATTCATATTGCATAGATTTTACTGTATTCATAATTAAATAATCGACCCAGACAACGGAGCCACGTAAAGACCCCGTCGTTCTAAGCACCTCATATCGGATCCTCCCCATCGTTTCTTAGTGCTTTTAGTCTCTCCAAGACCCAGTCTAAACCCAGACCGTCTAGCCCAAAGACACAACTCACCGAGTTTCTCGCCGGATCTTCGCAGCTTCTTGCTGGTGGTAGAACATCTTGAGTCCGCGCGGGTAGGTATCACACCCTGCCTATTTCTACCGTGAAGCAGTAATGCGTTTCGGTTTGAAAGGCAGGGCAGCCGTTGTACTGTTAAAACTGAGAACTTAGAACTTACTTCTCGAGGTAGGTGGCGGTATTTACGTCGTATTTGTCTATGGGCTTATCCACCCGCCTAAGAAATAAAAAAAAGTGAGTCGCAATTTCGATCTGCTAGTAAATTTAGTAAAGCACTGCTCTTGCTAGGGTTAGTATTAGTAAGTTATCTCAGGTTGAGCCCCGTGAGCCTACCAGTCTGCATAGTTGGAATAGCCCCTTAGGCTATCAACGGTAAGGGAAAAAAGCGGAATGCATCGAATCAAAACGTCAGAGTACTTAATTATTAGTTAATTAATGAAAGCGTCTACTAATAATTGTGATGTATTTATAATAGGTTCTATATAATTATCAATGTTAATTGGTGTAAAATGATTAATTAGGAAACATTGTCAATTTAGTATAGTTAGCTGTGGTGTATAGTTATATTTGTTAACCTCAGCATTCTGTTTAACAATTACAAAATATGATTCTAAGCAAAAAAAGAAGGTAAGGTAAGTAGAAAACGATTTCTTCAAAAGACTAATAACAGCGATGGTATGTTCAGTGCTAACATTCATGAAATTCTTATGAGAAGCCTTTGTTGTGTCACGTGTAGCCTAGATAAAATGGAGTGGAAATTTTCTGTGACAAAATACCATTGTAAATATCAGAAAAAAACCTCATAAAATTTGTACAGATGGCACAGTGTACTAGCGACTGTCTGGGTTTTATGTGCTGGCAACACCGAAATCTACTTATTTACAACATGGTCACAAATGTTTTATTACACCTGTTGTATTACGTTCAATTTTTTTGGAAGTTAATTTATTAAGGTCTCGGTCAAGAAAATCTCGCGAACTTATTTCTTCTAATTATCAAAGGACAGCCAGTGAATTTTCCTAATTATATATACTGCAATTAATCGAAGTTCCTTCGTCTTTAGTGTACGCTTATTAATAAACCTAATACCTAATAATACCTAATACGCTTAATACTAAACCTAATACCTAGTACGCTTAATTCTATAATATTATCAATACTGATATTGTAAATCTGAAACTTTGGTTGTTTGTTATTCTAAAACGCCAAAAAGGGGCACCAATTTCAATGAAAATTAGCACGAAGATGGTTTAGATGGTTGGCGAAAGAACTAAAATAAAATTTGACTTATTTGAGCTGAGTATAAAACACATATACCTAGTATCGTACCGTGTAAAAAACAAAGTGTACCGTGTACCATTGGCATTTTTAATTAATACTTCTCATTTACATAATTAATAACTTAATAAACTCTCCATCAATGGCGTTAATTATCTAATATATAAAATTCTCGTGTCACAGTTTTCGTTGCCATACTCCTCCGAAACGGCTTGACCGATTTTGATGAAACTTTTTGTGCTTATCCGGTATCTATGAGAATCGGCCAACATCTATTTTTCATACCCCTAACATATTTTTTTTATTCGGACTTTTTTTTTGTTATAATGAGGTATTATGTGGTTGAATGAGGTTTTGTTATTTTTATTATATATTCCCTCATCGTTCACAGCACTACATACCTCTTTCACTCATTTACCACATCCTTACACACTTACAATAAGTTAGTTTTTTTTTTCTACACTAGAAATTCCCTAGAAATCTTATTTAAGGCAAAACAATGTTTGCCGGGTTAGCTAGTATATTATAATAACTTTATTCGCTTCGGTTCGCCTATATTTTGGTCTTTATACCGGATACTACATTTAAGATCTATGGTGTACTTTAAATAAGGATGTGTATGTTTGTCGGCGAAATGTTATGATTTAATGGGAGATAATTTTGTTCGTTCCTTGAACTCCTTCATGTGTACTGTTATCCAGGAATTACCAAGACGGGCCAAATAAAAATAAAAAATCGAGACTCAAGAATTTTATTTTCAGCCCAATCATAATTAATTAATCAGGTCTCCGGACGTCTTGAAGACATGGTCACACTACATATTTTTTGGTATGCGGGAATTTAAT